AGACCCAAGTAACATTCTGGGAAAACAAGGTGTAGAGCTGGATGAACACAGCAGGCCAAGCAGCATCAGAGGAGCAGGAAAGCTGACGTTTCGCACCTAGACCAAGGGCCATGGCAGATGTAATTTGAATTCAATAAAAAAAATCTGGAATTAACAGTCTAATGATGACCATGAATCCATTGCCGATTGTTGGAAAAACCCATCTCGTTCCTTAATGTCCTTTAGGGAGGGAAACTGTCATCCTTAGCTACAAATTTCAGACCCACAGCTTACTCTTGACTGCCCTTTGGGCAACTAGGGATGTGCAATAAACGTTGACCTAGCCAGCAATGCCCTCATCCTGTGAATGAATTTAAAAAATGGAATACTAATCCAAAACTTTCAATATCTAAAATATGTGCCAAAGCGATTGAAAGGATAATTTTACAATCTCATCCTGACTGCAGAGAACTGTGCTCAGAAGCAACATATGTTGCTGAAATAAAACTGTAACATTGTAGCCCTTATCCTCATCCCATGTGACATGTATGCACTGGTCTCTGCTAGATCATGGCGAATAGAATTATGGAAAAGAATACTGGTATTTATATAAAATGTTATAATCTTTCTCTGAAACATGCCACATACAATGAGATACTAAATGGATAAAATAGATAAAGAGACAATCAAGTTACAGCATGCATGGTAAATCTTGTATGTGGTTGTATGTGGTCAAGTCTTTGAGAAATGGATGATGCCTCAATTTGTAGTACTCCTGACTCTTTCCCCTGACGCAGAGAATTGTGGGATTAAGTCCCATGTGGAGTGTCATCACTACTGTGATATACGATACGCAACAGTCAATTTTTGCACAGTAATTTCCAAATGGGGAAGATGGTGATACATTGGTAATATCCTTCACCCAGTAATCCCTTTACTTGCAGCATGCATTTTTTCCTTCAAAGAATTCCACTGAATTGGTTAAAGTGAATTTTCTTTTGACTAAACCATGCTGATTCTTCCCGATTAGTTTGGGTTTTCCCGTGTGCCCTGTTATAACCTTCTTAGTAATCAATTCTAACATCTTCACCATGAAAGACATCAAGCTAACTGGGCTATAGTTTCCTATTTTCTGCTTCCCTCCCTTCTTGAATGGAGGGATTATATTTGCAATTTTCCAGCCTAATGGAACCTTTCCAAAATCTAAGGTATTTTGGAAAATTGATACCAATGCATCTGCTACCTCATTAACCTTCTTATGAGACCCTAGGCTGTAGTCCATCAGGAGTTGGACTTACCACGCTGCAACCCTATCAATTTGCTCACAGCAGCTTCCTGAGTGATTATAATTTCATCAAATTCCTCTCTTCCTCCGACTTCCTGACTTACAGCTACTACTGGGATGTTTTTAGAATCCTCTGTAGTGAAGTAAACACTAATGCTGTGGGGACACAGGTCCAAATCCTACCATGGCAGCTGGTGGAATTTAAATTCAAATTGAATCCTAAATCTAGATTACAAAGGTAGTCTCAGTGATGATGACCATGAAATGATCTTTGGTTGTCATAAATGCCTATTTAGTTCATTAAAGCATTTCGGTAAGGAAATCTGCCACCCTTATCTGGTCTGGCCTACATGTAGTGACAGATGATGACAATGTGGCTGACTCTTAATTGCTCTCTGAAATGGTCTGGCAGTTCAAGGATAATTAGGATTGGGCAACAAATGCTGACCATGCTAGCAACATCCACAACCCATAGCAAAAATTAAGAAACTGAATACATAATATAGCTTGTATTTAGAGAGTGTTGTATTATCACGGATGCAGTCCAACAAATGAAACATCAAACTGAAACTCACTTTATGTTCCAGCAATTTAGATTCACATTGAACATTCTGAGTCACTGTTCTCAGACAAGTAGCATAATCTCCCAGTTTTAAACACTTTATGATAGTTTAATAAAAGTATGTAGAAGCATATCAATGATAAATATCATTAGATTCATCTTTCTAAGAATTGTGAGAAACTATCTTCTTGAAATAGTCTTCAAATTTCCACATAGCACTTATTAGCTGAGATCAATATAATCTAACATTGTGAGTGTACGAACTTACAAATTAAGAGTAGAAATAGGCTATTTGGCCCTTTAAGACTACTCTGCCATTCAATAAGACCATAGCTGATCTGGCAGCATCCATGGAGAGTGAAACAAAGTTAATGTTTTGAGTGCAGTATTACTCCAAAGAACAATCATGAGTTCCAAAGTCACACAACCCTCTGAGAGCAAAACCTACCCCTTATTTCGGGCTTAAAAGAGCGAACTCTAATTTTAAAAGAGTCTCCTAATTCTACACTCAGTTAAAACAGTAAACATTCTTTCCACCTCCATCTTGTCAAGACTACTCAGAATCTTATAAACTTCAATCAAAGCACCCCTCGATCTTCTGAACTATAGTGAAAACAAGCCAGGTCTATCCAATCTTTCCCCATAATACAAATCACAGGTATCAACCAAGTAAATCTCTCCCTGAATTTCTTCTATTGCATTTACATCCTCGCTTAAGTAAGCAGATCAAAATGCATTCATCAATCAAGACATGGGCAATGTGCACAATAACTGAAGCATAATACCCTGATTTTTAAGTTCAATTGCTATCATAATAAAGGCGAGCACACTATTAATAAATCTGATGGTGTGTTGTATTAACATCTTGAGACTGAAGCACCAGAACACATACAGCACTCTACACCTTGAAATTGTGCAGTACTTTTCCATTTAATTAATACTTTGATTTTTGTTTACTCTTCCCGCCAAAACAAACAACCTCGCATTGCACTCCATTTGGCCACTCAATTAACCTAGCTAAATTGGTTTACGTTCTTGTCATATCATTTTCGAAACATTCTTTCCTTCCTATCTCTGTGATTTCTGCAAATTTAGCCATCATGCCTTCAGTCCCCTCATTGAAGTCATTAATACAAATAGTAAAAAGCTGAGGGCCAAGTATGAACACCTGTGGGACTCTACTCATCACATCCTGCTACTGAAAGAAGTCCTATTTAAGCACAACATTGATTTTCTGCCAGAGAGGCAATCTTCATTCCATATTACTACATTATCCCTTACACCATGAGCTCCTAAGTTGTGCAATAGTCTTTTATTTGGAAAATGGTCAAATGCCTTCTTGAAACCCAAGTACAACACATCTACAGACATCCCTTTATCCATAATACATGTTACACGTCCAAAGATATCAAGCTATTTGGAATATAGTTTCCTATTTTCTCTTTCCATCCCTTATTAAATAGAGGGATTATATTTCCTTTCTTCCAGCATAATGGAACCTTTTCAATGTCTAGTTAACTTTGGAAAATTGACACCAATGCATCTAATTACCTCATTAGCCACGTCTGTCTAGACTCTTGGATGAGGAGACTTATCAATCCATAGGTCCATCTACTTGTTCAGTGCTGCTTTCTTCATGATTATAATTTCATCATATTCCTCCAATCTCCTGATTTACAAGTACCACTGGGATGCTTTTGGTATCCTCTGTGGCGAAGACAGAAGCAAGTTATTTATTAGCTGTAGCTCAAATAGTAGCACGTCTACTGTTGAGTTAGAAAGTTGTGAATTCTAGTATCATCTGGGTCAGGAATGCAAGAATCTGGACTTACAGTCTCCTGTAATTTTCAGTGACCTGCTGTCTTTCAGATGAGATTTGAAAGGGAGGTCCATCAGCGCTGTCAGGTGGATGGCTCAATATTCATCCTTCGATTAACATCATAGAACACAATTATCCAGTCACTGGCACATTGCTATTGTGGTGCTTGCTGTGCTCCAATTGACTGCTGTGTTTCCTGTTTTGCTATAGTGACTACCCATCAAAGGTAAATAATTGGCTGTAGGGTGCTTGGCGTTGTCTTGCCATTGTGCAAGTCATTGATTGTTGTAAAAGCCCACTGATTCACTAAAGTCCTTTACGAAATGAAACATGCTTCAATGCCTGGTCTGGTTTTACATGTAACTCCAAACCCACAGAAATGTGGTCAGCTCTGAACTGCCTCTGAAATGCTGTAACAAGACATTCAGTTCAAAGATAGTTAGTGACGGACAATGAATGCTGGCCTTCCAGTGACCCCCATGTTCCATGGAAGAATAAGGACAAAGTAGCTGGTTGGGACTTTCACATATTTTTCCTAATTAGCCCTGGAGAAGGAGCACACAGTGTCCACCTCTCCACTTTTCACCTCTTCTGTCTCTCTCCTCCTTAAAGCTACCAAGCTTTATGTCACTTGTCCTGATATTACTATATATGCTTTTGCTGGAATAACACTCCCTTGAAGCACATTGGCTCCATTTAATTCATTTAAAGCCTTCCATAATTACAAATTACTTTTGTTCTTGGGATCTTGTTGTTTGAAAATGTGTTTATTCGCCTGACATATTGCCACAATCGTAACACTTGAAAAGTATGCTAAGTGCTTTGAGGTCTTTCCAAGACATAAGACATAATATAAACGTTTCATTATAACGAAATTGTTCTCTAGTTTGAAACAAAAAATGATTAACAATGAAAAAGGTAGAAAAAAAACGTAGGTTTCACGCTGTAGTTAAAATACCCACGTTCTCACTTGAGGGGAGTCACCAAGGTTTTGTAAAACAAAAATTATTCACGGGGTGTAGGCATTGCCCGCCAAAACAGCATTTATTGCCAATCCCTAACGACCCCGGAGAAGATAAACTGCCTTGTTGGGTCCGTAGGACCTGCTAAACGATCACAAAACAACGAGCTTCAGCGGAAAACCCTCAACCCTTCCTGAATGTAACATCACATTTACGACTCCCCTCCCTCCCAAAAGGTCAAACTGACTGGGGACTGGGAGACTGAGACTGTTCTACATGAATCTTTTTACTGGTTTGTGAAACTGTCAATCAGAGTGGTTCCACCCGCCCTAGCCCCAGGAGGTATAAAAGAAGCGGCGGCGAGCTCTAAAGTATCTGTAAGTTTTGCAGTTCGCCGCTCGGTCACTTTTTAAACTCTCACGTGGAGACATGGCAACTGAGGAGCTAGCGAAGAAACTCCAGCGCCGGCTGATGCTGCAGATATCGGCAGAGGATGCAAACGGCGAAATAGTCGAAAACAACAATTATTTAGATATTGGCGGAGGCACAGAAGACAAACCGGTCAGAAGGAATGCAAGCACCGAGCTCTCCGTTATACTGTCCAGGAGGCTGGACATCAATGAAGGAACAAAGGAGCCGAAACAGATTAAAGTGTTTAACCCTTACACTGAATTCAAGGAATTCACCAGGAAACAGATCAAAGAGATGGAGAAGATGTTCAAGCTGTGAGTATGGGTGATCCTGTGAATTTTTATCTGATTTCTACATCCAGTTCTGGTCTCAGTCCTTTCCTCTCTATACAGTGAGATCTGAAACTTCCTGATTCATAACCTGTTCAAATTCTTCTGAGCGGTTGTTTTATAAATGATATTTCTGCTGTTGGGAATTTTGGTGAATTGAACATTGCGGATTTTTTTTTAATGGTGCTTCTTCAAAGGGGATTGCGGCTCGGCTCAGCGTTCAGAGTATTCTGCTTTCACAGGGAGACTGCACGGGGCAATGCAGCCTCCAGTTGTCTGTGTAACTATGCTCAAACCCTCCAGAAGTGCGGAGAGGTCACACTATTCTGATTTCCCTCCCGTACAGTCTGTACGTGTCACTCGACAGTGCGTTTTGGGCTGAGCGGATTGTAAGAGGAAAGCACCTGCCCTTTTTCTGGGCAGGGATCAGGCAACGATCTGGCTCCGGATGGTACGTGAAGTGTCCGGAATTTTATCCGTTGCATACCCGGGATTTCTGGCCGAGAAAGCACTTTTGATCAGCTTTCTGCTCTATTTTTATTTATTATTAGCCTCGTTCCTGATGATTAGCAAGGTGTTTCAGCCCGTTTTGTAGTGCATGCCCCTTGCTGCATTGAATTTCCCAAACGGTGAGTGATGGAGAGCTGAAATGTGAGTTTCCTTTGAAAACTACGAGGCGAAGCCTTCTCTCTCCCTGTGACATTCCCATTTTTAACATTCCCTCCGTGGTGCTACTTTTGCTGATTCAGTGCAAGAAATCTAAAGTAGATCATAACAGTAACGATTAAAAAAAAACTAGTCTCCCTGCACATCAGCGTTTACAATGGACACACGTCAGCCTAGTCTCTCTGTAGACTTGTTAATGCTGATCAAACTTCATGTGAATCTATATTCCTGGGCACCATTTCAACTTGCCAGCCCACACTTGATAAAGTGAACAATATATTCAAGGTTGGAACAGGCGCTTAAAGCAGGGTCATAAAAGCCTGCCTTCTCCAAATCTTATTTATGCTATTATGCATTTGGCCTCTGTCTGATAAACATATCCATTTCATGCTGGAGTATGAGTGTCTCTGCTTATGCAGAAAAGGTTAAGAGGAGATTTGATTGCATTTGAAACCAAGTAGGTTTCCTACTCCCAATGGATGGCAAGGTTGATAACCTCAGGCTGAGATTTAAGCTGCTTGATCAGTGACCAGAGGTAACATGAGGCACTCTGGGTGGAATCTTATAAGGGGCAGTCAGAACCATCATGCTCCTCGCACAGGGAATGAGGAGCTGAATGTCAGGCAGGAGAATACTAGTCTTGAGTTTTTCTGCCCTATTGGGACTATTCTACCCCAAAAGAGAGACAGAAATGAAACAAGATGAAAGTGGGTGTTTATGCAGTGCTGAGGGTGTGTTGGGTTTGGGGTGGCTGACAGTGAATGAGGGAATTTGTGCAGGCAATAATAAAATTGGTAGAGTGTGAGTCTCTGTAGGAGATGGGTGCTGTAGAAGAGAATCTGAGGTGTCTGAGAGAAGATGGTGGCATTTGAGTTGGCAAAGCAGAGAAAGTAATGGACCTTTTTCCTACATTACTGTGCTTCACTTTAGATGACTGAGTCTGCATTTACTCAGGTGACAAACTCACATTAGGCTGGCATGGTCTGGTGTTGTGTCCTCCACTGTTGGACTTGGAGGAAGAAGGTGTGCTGCATTTGCATTATGCCATTGAGCAGGATCACCAAACAGTGGGGTGCCAGTCTGTTATGTTATGTTTTTCCATAAAGTATGCTGGTGAGTTCTGGGATATTTGCTGAGTGACTATGTTCTAGGCATGGTGGATGGTAGTATGGGGTTGGAATCAGATATGACTGGGTGGTGTAGGAGCTAATAGGATGAATATTGTGAGAAAAATGTGCTAAATGTCATGGCAGATATCCCTCCAAAATCTCCGAACAATTTGGACTTGGTCAAAAGAAATTTAAAATTTGGATCATTGTTTTACACCAGGAGAAATAAGGAATGGGAATCCACTATCTCTTATAGGAGGTGGTACAAATTCACAAGTATTGTTCAAAAGGGAAGGCGGGGGGGCGCGGGGATTGCAGAGATTTTGGAAAAGATTGGAAGTCACTCAATTGCTTTACAAAGAGTTGTGCTGACTTGATTGTCCAATATATTGCTAAAGTAATAGATACTATAGTATAGTAATGATATTACTAGTAATCCTGAGTTGAGTTCAAAACTCAACAAAATGGTAGTATTTACATGCATTAGTTAAATAAAGATTTTTCATAGAAGCTAGCATTAGTGACCATGTATTTAGTAGATTATCACAAAACTATCATTAATAGCTTTTTCAGTGAAGGTAATCTGAAATAAATTTTTGGTCTGGTATGGGTGTGCATTATATACACAGATTATGTATAAAACTCAGACCCATAGCAATGTAGTTGACTGTTATATCCTGCCTGGAACAGCCCAGCAACGTTGTATTCAAGTAGGTAGCTCCTCATTCATCACTTGCTCAATAGCCATTAAAAATGGTCAATAAGTGCTGGTCCTGCTAATGATGTCTACATCCCAGCAATGAATTTAAAAAGAATGCTGCTGTCTTTTAAATGGGCCTGATTCATCTGACTGCATTCTTCAGAGTTTTTTTTATTCATTTGTAGGATGTGGGCGTTGCTGGCTGGCCAGCATTTATTGCCCATCCCTAGTTGCCCTTGAGAAGGTGGTGGTACCTTATTTACCTCATTGAACCGCTGCAGTCCGCCTGCTGTGGGTTGACCCACAATGCCATTAGGGAAGGAATTCCAGGATTTTGACCTAGTAACAGTGAAGGTACGGCAATATATTTTCAAGTCAGGATGGTCAGTGGCTTGGAGGGGAACTTAAAGGTGGTGGTGTTCCCATGTAGCAGTTGGTCTTGGCCTTCTAGATGGAAGTGGTCATGAGTTTGGAAGTTGCTGTCAGGATCTTTGGTAAATATCTGAAATGCATCTTGTAGATAGTACACACTGCTGCTACTGAGCGTTGGTGGTGGAAGGAAAGGATGCTTGTGAATGTAGGCCAAATCCTATGGGAAGGCGATGATCTTGTGGTATTATTGCTAGACTACCAATCCAGAAATTCAGCTAACGTCTTGGGGTGGGAGAGACCAGGTTCTTGGAGACCAGGTTCAAATCCTGCTGTAGTAGATGGTGCAATTTGAATTCAATAAAAGAAACCTGGAATTAAGAATCTACTAATGATCACGAACTCATTGTTGATTGTCAGGAAAAATCCATCTGTTTCACTAATGTCCTTCGAGAAAGGAAATCTGCCATCCTTACTGAATCTGACTGCAGACAAGTGTGCTTGACTCTCAATTGCCCGCTGAAATAGCCTAGTGAGCCATTCAGTTGTACCTGTTCCTAAAAAGTCTCAAAGAAATGCATATTTCCAAAAAAGGTTCTTGCTGGGGACAGGTTGGGAAGGGGCGCAGTGCAGCAGGAGCAACATAGAAGGAAAAGGCCAATCAATTTGTTTGATCAAATTAAAAACCTCCAATAATATTGTCTGTTTTTAATGAAATAACTAATGTTCCAGTTCTGGAGAAACACTTCCTATTTTGAATCCAACTAAATATCCAAGTAACAAATGTCTAGCAAGTAGGTAACTAACAGTAAATTTCTACATTTACAGCAGATTTTTGTGAATGACTGAAACATTAGCAACCTGCTTATTCTTTATGCAGCTGAGCTGTTAGGGTTGGATATATTCACGTCCGGTGGTTTTGGTGCTGGAAAGTGATACAATCAAATTGATTTAACACCTTGTGATTCTTGATTTAACCACATCAGAAATCTCCATTCACATTACTTCAATGAGAAATGATTATACAGTGTTAGACCCTCTCCTATTGGTGCAGATATTCAGTGTTTGATTCTGTGGATTTTTGTCATCAAATCATAGCTTGATGGTTCTCCCTCATCTGTGGAGGTTTCCAGTTTTCTCCACTTTGCCCCACGACCCCACCCCTACCACCACCACTACCACCCACTAAATCTATTATTAAATTCTCGTGTCTATGTCCAGCCTTGTAAGTTCCTCATCATTTTGAGGATATCATGACTTCTGCATTGAAATGCCCCAGCATCAGGATTTTGATCTTCATTTCTGTTCTCTAAGTCCCCTTAGCCTGGATATCTTCTGTGGCCACATCACTGAAGCCAACTCTCACTACCCACATTCCACTTGCTCTATCTCTAGAATTAATTCTCCCAAGCCATCTACTACAATGCTTCATTTTTAAAATCCCACTCTAACCCTTAGCCTGCCATTCTGCAGGCAATCTTTGCTCAACCCCATCTCTGCCTTTCTTGTCATTGAGAACATATGTTCCTGGTTTCTGTTCAAAAATTATCAATAGGATCTTAAACTCTTCACTCCCTGCAGCAGGCAAGAGGAGCTCATGGTTCTTTGCCACTTAAGATTGAGACCACTCATCCAAGTCTCATTCTCACTTACTTCCACTTATTTTGTTGATGAGATGCTTCTGTTCCCTTGATGTGTTTGTTTTGTATTAAGCTGCTGACCTTTGCAACTAGGTCCTTTTTTTCCTTTGGTATCCTCCTCTCCATTTTAAAACAAAATTACTGTCTTTTTCAATGGAAACTTATCTTTCATTGCTACCCTTGCAAATTATTGCCCTGTGTCCAATCCCACTCTTTCTTTCTTCATATTTTAGCCGTCCAAATCCATGACATTTTAAATTTGCAACTCTTGTTAGAATGTCACTTCTGGTTCTGACCATGCTTTGAGACTGCACAGGTCAAGCAGAAGTCACAAAAGTTTCCGTGATGCTGACATTATCCCTGCTTGACCTCCACAGTGTTTGACATGGTCAAACACACCATCTCCCTCCAATATCTTGCCTCCACTTGTCCAGCTCAGTGGAACTATCCTGCTTAATTTCACTCTTCCTATTTGAATTATATTGAAAGGATCGCTAGCAG